TGTAAATTAGTACAGCCACTATGTAAAATAGTATGGGAATTTCTCAAAAAACTAAAATTGTAACTACCATCTGACCCAGCAATCCCACTACTGGGCATTTATCCAAAGAAAAAGAAATCAGTATGGAGACCTGCACTCCCATGTTTATTACAGCACTATTCACAATAGCAAAGATCAGCAACCAACCTAAGTGCTCATCAATTGACAAATGGATAAACTGTGGTACATGTACACAGTGGAATACTATCAGGCCATAAAAAAGAATGAAATATTGTCATTTGCAGCAGCAAAGATAGAACTAGAGGTTATTATGTTAAGTAAAATAAGCCAGGTACAAAAGACAACTGTAACATATTCTTACTCATATGTGGGAGCTAAAAAAGGCTGATCTCATAGAGGTAGTGAACAGAATGACAGACACCAGAGGCTGGGAAGGTTTTGTGTGTGTGTGTGTGTGTGTGGCAGCGAAGAAGATGAAAAGAAGTTGGCTAATGGGTACAAAAATACAGTCAGATAGAAGGAATAAGTTCTAATGTTCAACAGCAAAGTAGAATAGCTATGGTTAACAACAATATATTATATATTTCAAAATAGCTAGAAGAGAGGCCTTGTAATGTTTCCAACACATAGAAAAGTTAAACAGTTGAGGTGATAGATACCCCCAACACCCTGAGACTTGATCATTACATATTCTATACATGTAACAACATACCACACATACCACACAAATATGTACAAATATTATCAGTAACAATTTTTTAAAAAAGAAAAAACTCTGGGAGGGGTACAGGAAGGAGTCAGGGTAGCAAACTGTGTTTTTATAAGGCTACCAGGCGATTCTGGGTTTGAGAACCACTGTATTTTGGTAGAATAAACAGTATTGCAATTTATTATAATTATTTTCATTTTACAATATGAACTTGATAATTATCATTTGGTTTAAATACTCCCAGATAACATGTTCCAGGTTAATTTCATAAGGATTGTATTTTTTAGTAATTTAAAAAAACAAATTTTGGGGAAAAGGAAGAAGAGACACAAACATGAAAGACACAATGCTTAAGAAAAAATTTTAAATACATATTTGTGGTTCAGGTCACCATTAATGAACCAATGGGCATGGGCGCTTACTACAATCCCTAATATTCTGCAGAGGGCTACGCAAGTACAAATTCATGCTAATACAGAAAAACACTACATTACTTCTATGACTTCAATTACCATCTATATTAAAGATTCTTAATCAAGGGCACTAACATCTCCTAGGGACTCTCTCAACTTCTACAAGGTCTTACTCTTCCCCACTTACCTATCGCCCAAATGGTTATTGTTACTGTAAAGGGTGTATCATACACTTCCAGTGTACTGGATAGATGAAAGTTTAAGAATTATTGGCCTTTACTATAAGACCTCACTTCTGAATTTCTGCATGCTATATATTTCCACTTGGAGATCTAATAAGAACCTCAGATTCAATCTGTCTAAAACTGAACTCATTATTTTGCCCCACTCCTTTTCATTCCTTAGCTTAGTGAATACAGCACAAAACTGCCTAAGCCAAAAACCTAACATCTTTGACTCCTCCCTCCCCTGCCACCCCTCAACCAATCACCAAGGCAGTTCATTTTACTTTCAAAGTACCTCCTGATTCATCCATCCTTTTTGCCAGTATCCTGGCCCAGGCCTCTAGCATCTTTCCCCTGGATTAGTAATTCAGATTCCTACTCAACTAATTCTGGCTCCAGTTTTACTGTTACTTCCAGAAAAAGGCAAATTTCTAAAGGGTAAATCTAATCATTTTACTCTACTGCTTAAAAATCCTTCAATGGCTCTCTGTTGCCCTCAAGATAAAGCATACAACTACAGAGCTTTCATCACCTGATCTTTCACGCTTTAAATCGCACACCATCATTCACAACACCAGCTGTACTGAATTTTAGTTCCTGAAAAGCAGCATTTTTTCTTCTGTTAACCCCTCTGACACGGTGTTACTCAGCTCTCTTCACTGGGCTAATTTCTAGTTATTCTTCATGATCCAGTTTTGATGTCACTTCCTCCATAAAGCCATCTCTCACCTCCACAAATGTTATACTCAACAGCATCTCTAAGTACAGTACTTATCATCGTATTGTGCAGTAACCACGTATCTCCTCCTCTAAATTTCAAGCTCCACCTAGAGTAAGAACCATGTCTTTTTTTTTGTATTACAATCCTAGAACCACAGCAGCAATATAGCATAAAACTGAAAGCATGAGCTCGTCAGAGAGGCCCAAACAGTGTTATAAGCTGTGAGAATTTGGGAAAGTTACTTAAACTCTAAGTTTCCTCACCTGTAAAGTATAAATAGCACCACTTTTCAAGACTATTCACAGATTAAATGTGAAATGTGAAATATTTGGCACAGTGCTTGATACACAGAAATGGTAGCTATTATTACTTAATACAGTACATATCAAAGAAAATATGTGCTAAATGAATACACTGTTCACAAATTATTAAAAACATTTTAATAATGCTAACCTCATATAATTCATTATATTTCCATGTAAAGTATATAATTCTAAAAGGAGGTTTCAGTTTAAATCATGTCCACGGCACTGAAGTTTCTTATAGACAATATTTAGTTGAGTTATAAAGCAGAATGTTCAAAAAGAATGACCTGTGCCTCATTTTCAGGAACAATTTGTTTATGAATTCGAATCTGCTCCAAGCCAGGACTTTCTAGAGAATTTGGGGAAGTGTTACAAATTGAGGCAGTGACATTATACCTTGCTGACTGATAAAAGCTGTAGTATTCAAGTCTATTTTCCCTTGAGTTTTCTGATGCCTTTAGTTTTTGTTTAAACTGAACAACTTTGTAGATCAAAAAAATGATTAAAACACAAGCTAAGATGAAAAAAGCTAGCAAAATGTCAAAAGCCTCATTCAACTTCTCAACTTCTTGTGTACAAATTAGAGATGTTTTCCCTGACATTGAAGCAGCATCAATCGGTAGAGCACTGTTTTTTTCCAAGTTCAAGGTAACAGAAGTAGTCAGTTGTATTTGTACAGGTAACACTGCTGTAGTCTCTAATGGATTACCAAAGGCATTCTCTTGAAAAAATCTACCAGCAGGTGAAGTAGGAATTTGTTCCCAGAAAGTAATGTTCTCAGTCTCAGTATTTTCCAGAGGATTGCCATTTGTGGTAACTTTATGCCAGGCCATCATTAGCGCAGTAGTCTTGTGACGAATATGAGGAGATTTTACAACAGCCCAAGTTCTGGATACATTTATTGAAGACGTAACACAATTTGTAATGTTAATATAACGTAATGCTCTGCCACGCATGGATGGGGGATTCTGACAATAGATGTTTAGAGTAATGGCTGAAGATGCTAGCCAGTCTCGAAGGCCCAAAAGTTTGCAGTTACATTCCCAAGGATTAGAATTTGCCTGAAGATGAATCAGTGAAGACAATGGCTTAAGGACCCTTGGATGCAAGTCTGTAAGATTATTAAATGACAGATTAAGGATCTTCAAAGATGCTCCCATATTTTCAAATGTATCATTATCAATGCTAATTATTCTGTTTCTATCTAACTTAAGGTAAACTAAATTCTTTAACAAACTAAATGTGTCAGAATTTAAATTCTCTAAATCATTATGACTTAAGATCAAATGTTTAAGATTATTAATTCCACTAAACCCATCCCTAGTAACATTTCTAATTCTTGAATTTTTCAGGAGGAGGTATTCCAAATTGACAAGTCCTTTAAATGCAAAGGGCTGTATTGCTTCAATAGGATTATGAGACAAAGAAAGTCTTCTAAGACTTTTAAGCACTTCAAAGGCATTAGATGGTACTTTTGTTAAATTATTAGTTTCTAAATACAAACAAGCAAGGTTTTCAAGATGTTGAAAGGCTGATTCTGATATCCTCAAAATGTTATTGTTTGATAAGTCAAGTATCCGAAGAGCAACCATACCAACAAAGGTACCACTTCCAAGGACAGTGAGGCGATTCCTTTGTAGATTTAAGTACTGAACTGAAACTAGATCATTAAATACTCCTCTTGGAACAAAAGATACCTGATTAGACTGTAAATATAAATTACGAAGATGTAAAAGTCCCTTAAATATTCCAGGATCTAAGCGTTTTATGAAATTATTATTTAGAAATAGAAAATATAGATGCCTCAATTGAACAAAGGCTTTTGGATATACATACAGAATGTTAGAATTATCCAAATACAATGCTACAAGAGAATGAAGTCCTGTTAATTCACTTTCATTTATATAAGATATATTATTCCCAGTCAGATACAGAAAAACTGTACTTTCAGGAAAATTCTTAGGAATACTCGAAAGGCCTAAGTTACGGCAGTTAATTTGTCTCCCAGTGCAGAGCTGACAAACAGACGAACATCCAAGTATTTCCTTGTGGAGTAATAATAAAAGATAACAGGTAACAACCAGAAACAGTCGTAGGCAAGGCAGAGAAAACTGTAATCCACGCATATCCCTGTTCTTGGTTTTTCTGTTCAGATCAGAATTGGCTATAAAAAGAGAAGGTAAAGCTTTAAATCATCAAAACTTCATCACACGAATTTTTTTTTATAATACTATAACTTCTGTATTCTATTTTAATTAGGATCAGCCAATAATACTATCATAAATCATACCATGCTAATAGCATAAAATAATGAGTATGGAATACTTTCTAGAATTATTAACATGATCAGGCCATTAACCCATTACTTGACAAAATAGTTCAGATTAATGAAACATTTGCTAAGTTAACTTAAAAATTACAATTGATTACAACATAGGTGACAAATGATGTAGGAATGAGAATCTTTGAATTTAATATGTCCCTTTAACAACATAAAGTCTAGTATCAAATAACATTATAATTTATGAAAATACAAATTCACTACAGAACAATTAAACTCTAAATTAGTTTCTTACAAAACTATTTTTCATGTCAGCTAAAAGTTCATATTTAAGTAAATAATCTTACCAAGAAAAGGAAATTCGTATTATTAACACTCAGCTGATTCAGTAAAGGTTTTCTTTTTAAATCTGAAGAACGACATTTCTAAACTCCATTTTGTTCTGTGGCATTGCTGACCTCCACCCCACCACTTTTTTTTTTTTTTTTTCAAGTCACCGTTTGCTCAGGAAACACCACTCTTCACATTGGTTCCTTTACAGTCAATGTGTAAAACAGAGGTTGCCATGGATTCAGGAAGCTAAGAGACAGGAAGTAATTTTATCTGTGTTTCAAAAGTATTGCTGAACGGAAATCTCAGGAACTTATTTTTTCAGAATGCAGTTAGAGTTTTCCTAATATACACATCAAAATATCTCCTGTAATGTAAAATAATAGTTTTTAAAGGATACTTGAAAACGTTAGTTATTCAGAACCCAAATATCTATCAACAGACTCTAGCTATCAACAACATAGCTACTGAATGGAAAAGGCTAGTTGAAATAAGATGTATATAGAGTAATAGAATTTTTTGTAAACTTTTTAATGAACAAAATATTTATGTTGTTTTAAATACACATTGAAGACTTCAACTTTATGCTTTATTCCTTTAATAAAAATAGGGGAAAAATTTAGAATGAACATAAATGTTGTTATATTATCCTCCAGTGCTCTTTTCAAAATTTTCAAAATATTTTTGGTTGCAAAAAATACTGAGTACTATTTAATATGTTAAGGTACTAATTGGTAGTAAGGTACTAATTACTAATAAGGCACTAATTGGTAGAGTTGGATTATAAGATGGTAAGAAGCTGCATACCAAATTACTGACATAGGTTATCTTTGCAAGAAAAGTTGGGGAGAGTAAAAGAGGCGATGTTTTGCCCTATATATATATCTGTATTAGTTTGAATCTTTTAGAATGAAAATTGAGAATTTTAAAATCTAGTTTTTCAAGAATTTAAAGAATCAGATATAAATTGTTTATATTATATATTGTTCAGTCATTAACTTTCTTTCATTAACTAACTTTAAGTTAGTTGCTTAAGCTTTCTAATTCTGACTTTTATTAATATTACTAACACCCTGATAATATTCCTAAAATATCAAGTTATATAATTGTATACAACTCTCCTTTGTTATTAAAGCAGTTTCATTTCACATCAAGACAACAATTACTTTAGATAATAATATGAATTATGTCCATATTAGATACCTGAAATAATACCTAGCATTATCTTTCTATGACTAAAAATTCAACAATGCATACTGGATAGCAGATCTTTATCAAAATGATTTATGATTCTTATACTTATCCTTTATGGCTGGCTATTGTTATTGCGATCTTATGCATTAAAAATGGAAAACAAAACAACTGACAGAAATGACATGAACCTGAGGTAGGAGCTAGGTTTCTCAGGTCCATTTTGTTTAGTACTTCCAATAACACACAAGTGATATGAGGCTTGTCCCATGGATTTTTCAATTGCATCATACAACTTAAAGAGTTAGGAAAAATTGAGAGAAACGGTCCTTTGAAATCAAAATAAAATTAAAGAGAAAAAACCCACAAAGTAATATAACCAGAGTATGAATTAATTTTGTTCTCTATGCCAAAAAATATCCAAAGCAGCTACAATACTTATTAGGATGCAAAGGTAAAATTTTTAGGAAATTGTATTAAGGAAAAATGACAAAATAAAATCTCACTTCTCACATTCTAAAAACTGAAGGAAACTAAACTGACTGAAACAAAACGATTAAATATAAATAGTACACTGTAACTCTCAGGTTGAACGCTTAAAAAAAAAAAATTCAATCTCCAGCAAAAGAAAGTTTAGTCTTTCTGTTCATTTAGGAGTTGCTGTTCTTAGAGACAACTGATTAACAACGATTCCTCATTATCCTTTTCTGATTACTAATGTTCACTACAACTATTACTGAACACTACGCTCAGCCTCTTAAATTAGCCTTCTATTTCTTTCCAGGAAATTGACTCATTGAGCTGTTTTCCTCTCATTCTTGTTGCTGAAACCTTGTTTTACACTTCCTTTGTCTTCAGATCATCTCATGCTTCTGGTATCAATACAGAACTATTCTCTTTTCCATTCAGATTCTGCCCATACTAAAACAAGAATGTATAAATAACAGAGCAATTGTTCCATTAGCATCTTTTAAACAGACATCATCTGTATGTATGCATGTATTCTTTTGAGACACAGTCTTGCCCTGTTGGCTAGGCTAGAGTGCAACAATGTGAACACAGCTCACCACAGCATCGACCTCCCAGTCTCAAGTGACGCTCTTCCCTCAGCCTCCTGAGAAGGTAGGATTGCAGGTGCTTGCCACCATGCCTGGCATTTTTCTTATTTTTGTAGAGACGGGGTCTTGCCATTTTGCTCAGGCTGGTCTTGAATTAATAGGCTCAAGTAATCCTCCCACCTTGGCCTCCCAAATTGCTGGGATTATAGGTGTGAGCCACTGTGCCCAGCCTATATGTATTTAGATATATAGCATCTGTATATAAACCAATCAAGATTGGTTTACATATAAAGAATGGCTTATAATAACAGCAGTTACTGATTTTATGGACTTTAAAAGTTACTGATGGACCTAAAATCAAGAGAATGAAAATGTGAAATGGGATTTGCAATTAAAAAATAATCCAGCTCTTTCTGCTGTCATGAAGCCTGTCGAGGCCTGCTTGGAACATGACTTCCAAAAGGCAAATATTTCTGGAAGGCTGTCATCCAAAGTCATTTTTGCTGCTATAAGCAGGGTCTCTGAAACCAAAGGGAGCACACAGATCTTCTTAAAACTGAAGGTGTTTATGCCCGAGATGAAACTGAATTCTATTTGGGCAATAAATGTGCTTACGTATACAAAGCAGAGAACACAGTGACTCCTGGCAGCAAACCAAACAAAACCAGAGTATTCTAGAGAAAGGTAACTTGGGCCCAAGGAAACACTGGCATGGTTTTTGCCAAATTCCAAAGCGATCCTTCTGCTAAGGCCATTGGACATAGATGCTGTAACCCCTTAAGGATTTAAACTAATGAAAAGTAAATAAAGTGGACTTGTGCTCTTAGAAAAAAAAAATTAGCAAACAATTTGAAAATTATTTTGCTCAATGTAGGAGATAAATTTTAATGAGGGGCAGTATATCTCAATATAGACCTCTTATCAGTTGCAGGAAAAAAAAAAACATAGTAACTATACACAATGGAGAAATCAGATAACACCTTGATCAGCATTAACATCATCAGTGAGAGACAGATGAGCACCATGTGACTTTGCCTGTGATAGTCCAAGAGGGACACACCATTTATGCAATATTCTAATGGGAGATGCATACATAAATCGAACCATAAGAAAATATCAAACCACAAATGAGGAACATTCTATTCTGTTGGGGGAGTTGGGGAGAGGATGGATGGAAGACAAAAACAGAGAGGCAATTGGAAAGATGGAGAGAGATTATAATGAGTGGATTATTTAAAAATTTTATAAGAGAAAAATAAAAGACTGAGGAAATTACATGACAGAGTAAAAGAGACTACAAAAACACAAGAGCTAAAGCAATAATTGGTCCTAGACTGTAAGTACTGAGAAGTAAAAGACCATGACAAATGCAACTTACACAGAAATGGTTCAGAATATAAAACACCTATCTAGTTATCTGACAGAAAATGTGTATCACACAACAAATTGGGACAAAAGTTAACAATAGGTGATTCTGGGTAAAGGTCATATGGGTGTTCTTTACTGTTCTTGCAGTGTTTTTCTAAGTTTGAAATAATATCCAAATGAAAATATCATGACATTAGCTATGATATTCATGTAAAATTTGTCCATGCACATTACTGCCAAGATATGTCATCATTTCTAAGTTTCTAATGTATGCTTTATAATAAAAACAGAAACAAATATTGTGCTCCTATAACATGGCAAAACTATGAATATCTCTATTTGCTCAATTGTCAACAAGAAAGAAATTTTTAACTGCAAATCTATGAGAATAAAAAATAAACTTTATGTACTTTATGCATGAGAAGCATAAAATTTCAACTATGCCTGTGACTACAGGGGTTTAAAAGCAAACTGATGCTTCCTAAGGATGTACTGTCACTGGGACACTTTAAAGGAACATTATTAATCATCCCCTCAGCATGACTTTAGAAGAACATTTTTAACTTCTTGGTATCTGTTCTGTTACCCAGTCATTTTGAGAAGCAATATTCTATTTCTATGGACAATGTTAGGTACCATTCTCATTGCCACTATATGATGATCAATTTGTTTGTTGTATATTGGCATAGTTTTACACTGCAAAGCACAGAAAGCAGAACTATTAAACAGAAGGGCTGTTCCAAGCTAGCAGAGATGGATTAGAATTCAAAATATCTCCTCTTTTCCCTGGCTCCACCTGAAACCTTTGGAACACTAATCTCTCCTCTGACCTTATCTACCACCTTCTTGGTTTTGCTGAGAGACTAATCTCAGCAGATTATACTTCAGATCTGAGCTATATTAGAATTTCTCTTTTCTGCAAATTCCTTCCATTTTGATGGTTCTTATTTTATATTTATATTACAATTTCTAGTTTATCATAATACCTAAAATCCCTATAGTTTTAAACACACACACACACACACACACACACACACACACACACACACACACCCCCAGAAGAAGAGAGGAGGGAGTAATTAGCCTAACAGATTATTTAATAAGGCCATGAGAGAGCTAAGTCTCTTCCAATAACTATATAATAACCTTTGTGAAATTATTTTCTTGCCTCAACAGACAATATTATAAAATGGATGAAGTTACATGAATGAAGACTGTATTGAATATAGAAACTAGCATATGGAGTTAAAAGCACAGATTTGGGAGTCACAGTTTGTATTCTGAGGATAATACTTACATGACAAACAGCTATAGTTAGAAGTCCTACAATAAAATGGGCTGCCTTAAGGAGCAGGGACTTTTTATTAGCCAAGTATCCAAACAGAAGCTGAATGAACATCCCCATCAGAGATGCTGTAGAAGGAAAGTTTATTACCAGATAAAGATTAACCTAAATAACCCCTAAGGGAACTCTCAATGTTAAGCCACAAGTGCTGAAGACCACCCAATACGGCTGTGAGATATATATATATAACTACTGTAGGGGCATCAAGGCTCCACACAATACTACCTATGTCAGGCATGAGACTAGTCAAATTGACAACCGTGTGAAAAATAATTCCAGAATCATGC